TCTGGCATGGTTTTTTCAAGTTCATCCTTTTTAGGATTGGCTGAGCTTGTTGAATGTGTAGATTATGTCTTCAAAAAATTTGGGGAACTTTTGACTATCATCCAATCTTTTTTCTGCACTAGTCTCTCTTTCCTCCCCTTCAGTAAACCTAATGACAGAAATGACTCTAACATGGACCTTTGATCCTTCAATCTGAGGCCTGAGAACCTATGAATTTTTTCCCAATGTTTTACTCTCTGATACTCACAGTGGATAATTTCTATTAATCTCTTCAAGTTACTGGCTTATTTCTTTATCATCTCTACTACTGAGCCCATCAAGTGACTTTTAAATTTCAGATACTATATTTTTTTCAATTCTAAATTTCTCTTTTTTTCTGTTTCTCTATGGACAACTTCCATCTTTCCATTCATTTCAAGGTTGTTTACCTTGAGCTCGTGGAGTGTGGTTGTAATGGACGTTTTAAAATCATTTTCTAATAATTTAAACATCTGGATAATTTCAAAATTGACTTTATTGTCTTTTCTCCTGGGACTTGGTCAGATTTTCCTGGTGTTTTCTATGCCAAGTAATACGGGTTTATATCCTGGTCACTTTGAATATTATGTTGTGAATCATTGGGTCATCTTAAATCCTCTGGAGAAACTTGTTTTTTTTTCCCTTTGTTTCTCTGTTTCCAACAGGCAATCAGTCTGGTTGGTTTCAGCTCACAAGCTTTGTCTCACTTTTTGTGACTGGTGGTTCCAATGTCAGTTAGTTCTCAAAACTTTGCTTTTCTACTTGGGTCTGCCCTGCTCACACACCCCTCAGGGGTCAGTCTGGGGCCCATGTGGTTCTTTATATTGTAGTTCAGTTCTCAAAGCTCCTTTGGGTCTGTTGCACACATGTGTAGCTTGGGGGTGAGACCAGGACTTGTACTAGATTATAACAGAATTAGAGGATCCCCATTTAGTCTTCAGACCCCTTTCCCCAGTTCCCCTGGTCAGAGAGATGGAATGGGGTCGGGGAGACTCAATATCTTCAGGGCAGGAGCCAGTTTGAAACCAGGAGTCTTTGGGGCAGAATCAGGAGGGAAAAAAAGCATTTTGAAAGAGTATATATTTGATGGTCTTATACTCCAGTTAATTAATTTAGTCTTATTGTTAGTTTGGAAGAAGTTATAGGTTTGGAGCAAGATAGATACAACAAAGTCTTACTCTATAGCATAGGGAATTGTATTCAATATCTTGTAGTAACTTACAATGTAAAAGAACCTCAAAAAGAATATATGTGAAGTAAAAATCAATTAACCAATTGATTAAATTTTCTGTTTTAAAAGACAATCTTATATAGGCAAACATCCTTCAAAAGTAAAAAAGGAAGAAGTAATAGAGGAAATGAGTAACAAAAAGCTATGACATACAGAAAAGCATAGCAAAATGACAGAGATGTATCCTTATCAGTAAGTATTTTAATATAACTGGATTAAACTCTACAATGAAAGGTAAAGGTAGCAGAATGCATAATCAAATATAGCCCAATTATGTATTGTCTGCAGGAGATTCATTTAAAATCCAAAGAAGAGTTGGTTGAAAGTGAAAGGATAAATGTCCTATACAAATAATAATCAAAAAAGTACTGAGGTGGCTACATTAATGTTAGACAAAATATACGTTGAGTCAAAAATCATTACAAAAGGACATTGTATATTGATAAAAGTTCAGTTCAAGAAGATGTAACAATTATAAACGTTTACTCAACAAACAGCAGAGCCCCAAAATATATGCATCAAAAAAATTGGCAGACTTAAAGGGAGAAATAGATAATCATACAGTAATAACTGGCTATTTCAATAGCCCACTTTCAATACTGGAGAGAACACCTAAATAGAAGAATGACAAAGAAAAAGAAGACTTGAACAATACCATAAACCAACTAGGCCTAATAGATAAATATGAAACCTTCCACTCAACGCTAGGAGGATACACATTATTCTCAAGATTATATGAAATATGCTCCAGGGTGGACCATATGTTAGATCATGAAAAATTCTCATGAAATTTAAAAAGATTGAAAGCATATAAAGTATCTTCTCAAAGTACAATAGAATGAAACTAAGAAATTAATAACAGAAGGAAAATTGGAAAATTCACAGGTCTATGGAAATTAAACAATACATTCTTAAACACCAGCAAGTCCGAGAGATAACTACAAGGGAAATTTAAGATTATTTAAAGGATTTCTACACTGGTGCAGTGGTTAAGACTCTGTCTGCCAATGAAGAGGACAGGTTTGATCCCTGGTCAGGGAAGATTCCATATACCATAGAACAACTAAGCCCATGCGCCACAGCTACTGAGCTTGAGCTCTAGAGCCTGTGGGCCACAACTACCAAGCCCATGTACTGAAAACCACGCCTGTGCTCTGCAACAAGAGAAGCCACCAGAATGAGAAGCCCACGCACTGTGAGGAGTAGCCCCCCCACTCACCGCAACTAGAGTAAGCCAACACAAAGCAATGAAGACTCAGCACAGCCTTAAATAAATAAATAAAAAATTTTAAATGGTATGAAGAGAGTAATCCATACATATATATGGAAACAAAACATAACATGCTAAAACTTACTGGATACACAAAAGCAGTGTTCACAGGGGAATTTATAGCTGTAAACAACTGTATTTAAAAAAAAGAATGATCTTAAATCAATAACCTAGATTTACACCTTAAGGAGTGGAAAGGAGAAGAGCAAATTAAACCTCAAACCAGCAACAGGAAGGAAGAAATAAAGATGAGAGCAGAGCTAAACGGAACAGAGACTGGGAAAACCGTAGTGAGAATCAGCAAAACCAAAAGTTGGTTCTTTGAAAAGTTCAGCAGAATTGACAGACCCTTAACTAGACTTGAAAATAAAAAATGAGACAAAATGAAGCATTTTAGTTATATGTATAACAGTTTAGACCTTTAAGCTTCAACTTTAAGGCCAATTATCTGTTCTTTTCAGGACTTACAACGGATTGAATGGACCCACCCAGATTAATGAAAAGCTTGTTAAAGTCAGTTCATTACAGACTTTAGCAGTATCTGTAAACTCACAGCGACATTTGATCAGTGTTAGATTATACTGACACCTTGACAAAGCCATTACAATATAGTTTTGTTTGCTAATTTATGCTGTATCTTGCTTTCTATTTGATTATTGCCAACACAGAGGAGCTATACTTACTTTTGCAAGATGATGTTGCATCTGAATCATTTTTGTGTATTTTTTCTAATAATTGGTCTGTGGATTAAGTTTGACATCCTATATTGATGATAAGGTCATCTGCAAATGATTCCATTTGATCAAATTACTGGCAAATAATTCTAGTTATTACAGCACTTCTTTCTTTTTCTTATCTTACAACACTGGCCAGTATACCTAGTGATATAAGTGATGAGGGTTTCAGGTGTCCTTGGTGATTCTCTGATATTAATACAACTATGTCCACAACTCCACCAGAAACAAGGTATTTGCTTTAGTTATGGTATAAATTTTTTATTATCTTAAGGCCATTTCCTCCTATTCCCAGTCTTCAGAGTATTATATTGTCAGAAACAGATTTTGAACTTAATAAAATTCTCCTATGTATCCATTAATAAAATCATCAAATCAGCCTACCAGTGTATGACTTAACATTACAGATTTTGTTACTATTAAGCCACATTTGTTTTTCTGCAACAAAGCTTCTTTTGATGTATTGTATTTTTTAAATTTCAGATTCCTTTTTACTGTCTATATATTTGACTTGAACTTTACCTTTAAAAATTTTTTTACAATGGGTCCTTCTTGTTTATCTCTGTACATGTTGATCCCAAACCCCTAACTATCTTGCCCACCACCCTGCTTCTCCCTAGTAACCATAAATTCATTCTTTAAATCTGTGAGTCTGTTTCTGTTTTGTAAATAAGTTCATTTGTGTCATTTTTAAAATTTTAGGTTCCACATATAAGTGATGTCATATGATATTTGTCTTTGTCTGACTTAGTTCACTTAGTGTTGTATTTTACTTTGCTATTTCAGCTGGTGAGCAAATACTGTTTTCAAATAATTTGTGTCTATATTCATAAGTAAAATGGCCTTATAATTTCCTTCACTTTTCTAGCCTTATTTAATTTTGAAATTAAACTTACTCTAAATTGTAAAATGTTTTAGGCAACTTTCCTTCTTTTTCTACTCTCTGGAACTACTTTTATAAGATAGGGATTATCTGTTCCTTCAAAGTTGGCAGAACTCCCTTATAAAGCTTTCTGTACCAGAGGATTTTTAGTGTTTCCATTTTGTGGTAACATATCCTATGATAACGGCTTCCCAGGGGTGCAGTGATAAAGAATCCCCTTGCCAATGCCAGAGCTATAGGAGATGAGGTTCAAATCCCTGGGTCGGGAAGATCCCCTGGAGTAGAAAACGGCAACTGACTTCAGTATTAGTGCCAGGATAATCCCACGGACAGAGAAGCCTAGCAGGCTTTGGTCCATGGGGTCTCAAAGAGTCAGACACGACTGGGCACGCAAACATGCAAGCAAGCATCCTGTGATAAACACATTTTTAATCAGTGTTAATCATATAATTTTATAAAGATAATAAGTTGCTTTTAGCTTTAAACTAATAATTAAGAGAGTCACTATTACATTTCATGTACTTTTGAGTCATTCTATAGAACAGATTGCTGTGCAGTGCTTAATTGCTGAGTTGTGTCTGACTCTGCTACCCCATGGCCTGCAGCCCGCCAGGCTCCTCTGTCCATGGGGATTCTCCAGGCAAGAACAGTGGAGTGGGTTGCCATGCCCTTCTCCAGGGGATCTTCCCAACCTGGGGATCAAACCCAGGTCTCCACATTTCAGGCGGAGTCTTTACCATCTGAGCCACCAGGGAAGCCCATAGAACAGATTATGTAGACACATCTTCTATGTGAACTTGTGGGAAGGTCAGAATGAGTGTGGTCACCCTAGCTTTACTCACGTCTCTGTGCTCTCCTCCCCAGGACACACAGGACGGTTGTTAAAGTCTCTGTGCTTCACCAGTCTCTCCTTCCTGTTGCTGCACATCATTTTCCACATCACGTTGGCGAGTCTGGAGGCACAGCACCGCATTGCACCTGGTTACAACTGTGAGTATGATGGGGCCTTTTTATCATGCTGTGAACGTGCCTAACAACGCTATATGTTGTGACACTCATAGAAATCTAGGCAACGATTACATTAAAAAAAAAACTGTGGCAGTTTTTGGCCATTTGTCAACCTCATGGATTATAAATATGTACAAAGAAATTCATGTGCCTTGACAGTGGGGTAATGTGAATAACTTAATTAATGCATCTTCAACACATATTAGCTACTAGACTCCAATCTGTATGTAACACACTATGGCTGGGTATAGTCTAAAAAAAAAATTGAGATTTACATATAGACTCTAGACATTTCATTACAGCTAGTGAGATGAGACAGGTACAGTATGTACCAGGATAAATAAGAGTATAAAAGTTAAATAACATTATACAACAGTGACCTCAATCCACTTCTAAAGCATAATGTAAGATTTCGCTCATCTTTATGGGGAAAAAGTGAATGACGGTTTCTTTTTCAAACTGAGATTACTTTTTGCTATTCATAATGAAATGATATATCTTACACACATTATATTTTAAGGTTTTGATCTGAAAAAGTCAACACATATATGCTTTATCTAGGTAGGATCATCTTTCTAAAATTAATCTACTATCAGATAAATTCTACTCCTGTTTTTGTAGGATGTGTTTGTCATTTGGAAAAAAAAAGGATTTCAAAGAGATGGAATACAATCCATATGTTTTAAGTTAAACCTGAAGAAACCCTGAGATATTTGGAAAAGACTAAATTAATAGTTTTAAGTTGTCAGTTTTTCACTGAGGAACTCGTTTGTGGGTTTGAAATTTCCTGATCTTTCATAAGTGCAAGCACAAATGAAGTAAACCCACCTTTCCCAGTAAAATAAAAAGAGATTAAAATTATTCATGGATCAAAGAATATTAGCATAAATGTAGTGAGAGATTCTTTAGTAAAATCCAGAGTTACAGATTATTCAGTATCTCTCACTGCATAACTTTCAGAGAGCTAAACTTCACAGAGCTAAGTTAGTGTTCATTTTGGCCATTTTATTAAGTGCCCAGGTCCTTGGATAATAACGCCTATCAAAGTGATCCTTTGTTTAAGATCTGTGAATTAAGATTTGTTTTTAAAAAGACTTAGAACTCATATACTGTAAAATTCACCCATTTAAAGAATGCAACTAAGTGGTTTTTAGGTTGTGCACCCATTACTACTAATTCTAGAAACCTCTCATCACCCCAAGAAGGAACCCTGCACCCATGAACACTATACATCCTTCTTTTTCTCTCCATGCATTCCTAGGCAACCACTGATTTACCTTCTGACTCTAGTAGATTTACCTGCTCTGGGCGTTTCATCCAAACAGAATTACATGATGTCTGTGTCTGACTTCTTTTACTCAACGTAATGTTTTCAAGGTTCATCTATGTTGTAGCCTGTGTTAGAACTTGGTTCCTTTTCATGGCTGAATAATATTTCATTGTTACAATGTGGTTTTAATGTCTGATGAAAGTCACATCATTATTAAAAACTTGATAAAATACAATGTTTAAATAATGGTACTTTAGTTGTATTATTAATACGATAGGAAGCATTTATTACACTTGGCCAGATTCAGGTCTTTTTGAACTTAGTAGAAATGTTAGCAGTGATATTTTTTACTGTTCCTGAATCAAAAATCCTTTGGGTAGGTCTTAAGCAGGCATTCCCAGAGCCAGAAGGAGGGATTTTTTAACCATAAGTATTTTCTGAACAGCTTGCTACCTTCCCCACAATAAAAGTTGAATTTGAAGCAAAAAAGGTAGGTGTGAAAGAAAGAACATAGAAAAATTATTTGATATATTGCATCCAGATGAGATTCCATGATCCAATTATATAATGTTATATATTCTGTATATATAATGTTTTGACATCAACATTTTATTTTCTTTCTCTTGAGTAATAACTCATACCATGGCAATGTGGAAAATAAAATATCTCTTTGTTTTAAAAAAGGATTCATAAATAATAAGTTATCTTTACCACTGAAAGTATTTAGTTACAAGATATATTACAACTGATCAGATTTTTCAAACTTGAGTTTACAAATATATAACTTGCCTGTGTCTGCAAATACTGTTTGGTGCTGAGTGATATTGTAGACAGAACTATGCTGGAGGGTATCTAGATTAGGATGTGAACACATAATTTTCTCTGGTCCAAAGTCTAGGTCTTTCTATTTTTATTCAAAATAGTATTTGCAACAGTTCTACAAAGGTCAAAACAAAAATGAAATGTGAAATGCTAAGACTGTATTCCATTTTTCACATTTACAAATGAATTTACTGTATATGGAGGAGCCTCTGCTATAAGGTATAGATAGAGACAGAAAGACATACAGACTTAAAGCACACACATACACATCATACATCACACGCACACACACACACATACACAGATCACACACATAGAGATCGGACATCACCCACATAGCCCACACATACACAGATCACACACATAGCACACATCGTGTACACACACATCACACACGCACACAGATCACACACATAGAGATCGGACATCACACACACACCCCACACATATACAGATCACACACATAGCACCCATCGTGTACACACACATCATACATCACACACACACAGATCACACACATAGAGATCAGACATCACACACAGATCACACACATAGCACACATCGTGTACACACACATCACACACACACACAGATCACACACACAGATCACACACATAGAGATCGGACATCACACACACACCCCACACATATACAGATCACACACATAGCACCCATCGTGTACACACACATCATACATCACACACACACAGATCACACACATAGAGATCGGACATCACACACAGATCACACACATAGCACACATCGTGTACACACACATCACACACACACACAGATCACACACACAGATCACACACATAGAGATCGGACATCACACACACACCCCACACATATACAGATCACACACATAGCACACATCGTGCACACACACATCACACATCGTGCACACACACGTCACACACACAACATACACATAGATCACACACACATTACACACCCTACACACACACACCACACAAACACACACACACCACACACATACACATCACACATCTCACATGCATACCACACACACATGTCACACACACATCACACACATATACATGCCACACAAAAAGCACACACACCACACACATAGATCACACACACATCACACACACACACACCACACATATACCACACACACACCACATATCACACACACCTCACATGTGCACATACAGAAGTTTGTACTCGTGTTTTCCCCTTCTTTCCAGGCCAGAGTCCACATTACTTAGACCCTTTGGATGGAACCTATGTTGGTGTCCTGGGCTGCCTTGCTCAGTGGTGAAAGTAGAGACCAGTCAGATCTGGCCTCTTGACGTATCTCTTACTGGCCATTTCCTGCAGCACAGTCTTGGAGAGTCAGACCTGCCTTTCCTAACCTCACAGCTGAATATGTGGGCTTCCAGACACAGTATATTCCTTGGGATCATTCTATTCATGCGCAGTGCTTTCTGCTGTTACTCTTCACAGAGATGTGTCTTGAACATGTCCAGATCTATCATACTGTCCTTCTTTCCTTTTTGACGTCTCATATAAAAGCTCTATTCTCTTCCACCCACGTCAATATAATAGAAATCTAACAGTAAACTTTATTCCTAACAAGTTAATTTCTACTTTGAAGCTTATTTCCACAAAGGTGGATGTTCCAATGTGAAGTTCCGGCATTTTTGAGAAAGTCACCACAGAGACAGGAGATGCAAAAAGAGTGAGTTAGAGAAGGGATGTGAGCCCCATGGGCATCTTGAGAGTGAGTCTACAAAGAGAAATCACCAGTGTCTCCTAAAAACCAGTGATGCTGCAAAGCATCGGTGCACCAGGTCTACAGAGTTTTTTTGTTCAGCTTCATGTGCAGTGTTTAAAAATCATACATTCTTGAAAAGGGATAAAAGAGGAGAGCAAACAAACTTCAGAGCTTTGCAAACTAGTTTAGCCCAAGGTTGACACAGACCAGGTTTTCAGCCTGGAGCATTTTTTAATGATCAAGTTATATAAACTCTTGAAAAACCCTGTCCCCGTGGTAATGGAAACACTGACTTTTCATTTGGGGCTGACTTCACCTTATTCGTGTTATTGTTTCTCTAGCATTTGCAGTTTCAATTACACCATCCGAGCTGTAAACACAAACTCCGCTGTTTTGATATCCCACATTTGACTTTCCGCCTTCTTTTGGCATCCGTAGATGTAAAGTAGCAAAACTTCAAATGAAAAGGCAGAGAGTGCCTGTGCCGTCTGAATGCATCCTCTGTGTGCCAGAGTTTGTCAAATTAAAATGAAGGAACCCAGACATGTCCGGGTTCCCCATCTCACTCAAGTGGTCTTCAGACTCCAAACCACTGAGTGCTCATTTATACGTGTTTAATTTGGTGTTCTAACAACTCCTCTCCCTGTCTAACACTCATATGCCCTCAACCTCGTTATGGCAAAAGCTTCCAGGATCCCTCAGGAATCTGAGCCGTGAGTCTGGTGACAACGGTAGCCTTTATAAATATCCAGCCATTGGAAGTTCTCTCCCCCAAGAGCCCTGTGAACAGCCACTGGCAGCAGTAAAGGTTGTTTCAGACCAGCCCAGTTAGTGCTTGGCGGCTGGCGGGTTTGTTAAAGATGCCATTGTGCAGAAGGGGGACCTGCTGCCCTGCCCCTCCCCCTTCACTTCCAGGTAAGTGAGGAAATCGTGGGGGGGGGGGGGACGGCGAGCGGCACCTCTGTAAATTCTCCTCAGACACATGTTGTGCAGCTTACTAAAATATTTTCATTCTATCAAAACTGGACTGTTTCAGTCATGTCCTGCCAGAGCCTGTAGAAGCAGTCTGTCTGCCTCGGTGTGGACCTGCGGGGGTTGGGAAGCAGGGGTCGGGGGGAGATGCAGAGTCTGGATGATGCAGGGGCT